ATTAAATCTAACATGATCCTTATTATTAAGTGAGCATACAAGAGTTAGAAAGTCATACTTTCGTAGCGTGATTCGATGGAAGATCGAATAACCCCTAGCTCTTGCTCCTTGTAGTAGAAAATCTCTTTGTAGTGGATCTCCAAGTCTTCAAGTGAGCTTGATAAAATGTGAGTCTTCTTAAGACACAAGATAAGATATCCATCCCGGGGTTCTTAAAATCCTACTACTTCCTCTTGCTCAAAGATTGCTAAAGTTTAGTAAGAGGAGAGCTCTCTTTTATTCTCTTATGGAAAAAAAACACTTAGCCAATTTTTTATTAACATTTCCATAAGAAAAAGAGCTCATATTTATAGAGTGAAATGTGTTCATGATATGAATGACTCATCCTATGAGTCATGCAATGAATCATCAAAAATTAATGATTAATCAAGTGAGTCATGCAATGAATCATCTTATGAATCATTACATTTCAAAACCATGTGCTAATAAACCATGTGCTCAAACCATACCACTAAGTGACTCATCTCATGACTCATTATACATGGTATGTGTATTTCATAAATGAGAATACCAAATTATTATCACTAATACAGTATTTCATAAATATGGTATATAGTATTATTCTAATCTTTAACTAATTAGTCACTATATGACCAAATAAATCAACTGTTGACCAAAAGTCAACTGTTGACCAAAAAGTCAACTAGTTGACTAAAAGTTAACTTTATGGGAAAAATACTGGAATTCATTTCCTAAGCACATAGCATTCCGATTTTACCGATATACATAACCGTTTATGTGTATCCGGAAGAAATCATATATGCGTATCAGTCATACGCATCACTCCATAAATTGTGTTTCATAGGATTCAAGTACGAGCTTGGTGTGACTCTAGGGCCCTACTTAAAAAACTCGGTAGTGGATCATATCCATAAGTACAACAGAGGTGCTAGCTACACATGAAGACCACCCGGGTATAAGTTGTGATAAAGGTTTGCAAGATGTTTATCCAATTTTATCAGGACCACTCAATGGTAATACCGTACAGTCTGGTCTCTTCGTCAAACCATGTCAAACTATTGAGCCTAGGGTATGGCAAACCGTCAAACCCTAATAGCTTGATTAGTGTTTATTGATATTAAACTCATAACCTATAAGATCAAACTGACACTCAGTTTATCTTATTCACCTTGGCCAAGGATTTCCATACTATAGTTATATCAAACAATCTTATGACATCAACCCCTATACTGGGAGAGACGAATCCCTTCTTGGCATCTCAATATCTACTTATGTCTCGGGATGTACCCAACAAGAACCATTATGCACAATTCAATAAGAACTGTGATTAGGTAAAAGTCTAAATACATCTTTACTGACATATAAGATATTGCACTCATGCCTCAGGTCAAGAGACTACTATGTACTATATCACTTGAGAACTTCTATTTGACCGTTAAGTATATTACCAACTAGATGTTCTCGGCGAGTCGTTCAGTCAACTCATTCACTAATGAGTCACCTGTATACTGTATCTTGATGTCTCACATCAATGATATAAGAGATTGATCATCTCCTTCAAAAGGAGAAATAAAGCATACACTAGTCTAAACCAAAGTGATGATGTCCTATCTCAACAGTTCATCAACTAGGAACATTTTAGAATATACGTTACCGACTAATCAGATCTCTTCATTACAATCACTATCCGAAATGTCTGATAGTCTAGTATTTATTCTAAGGATATTATCTGTATATTTAGAACATCAGATAAATCTGACCAAAATAGCATACTATCATTTTGAATAAGGATGTTATATACATATAGGTCCTGTTACAATATACGATAATTGCCTGCAGGGCACCTATATCTAACAAGATCCCCATGGACATATCCTTCCTCAGGCTTATTCATTGATCGAGCAATGCTCCAATAACGTGGCCTAGTATAATGCGCTCATAATTGGCCTGCAACTTGCACAAGATATGTGTATCAGATATCTTGAAGCCTACGACGATATTAAATTGATCATCAATCAGAGCAAAGGAGAATGAGGTCCTCCACAACGACTTTATACTCTACCATGAAGTAGCAATGAAGCTTGCTTAATTATTTGAAGGCTTCTACATAGGGGTGCATTCGGTCCGGATACGGCTCGGATATGATGCTTACCATATCCATATCTGCTTACCCATCTCGGATACAGATACAGATACAAATATATCTCGGTAAGGAAAATTCATATCCATATTTGCTAAAATCGGATACAATTATGGATATACATGCTAATATATAAGCGGATATGTAACGAATATGAAAAAACTAGATAGTAATGAAAAAACATAGTTCATGTGATACAAAAGAGTTCGTTAATATGTTCATTATAATTAAAAAGTTAAGATTAGACATCTTGATCATCAAAATTAACCACAAATCCATAATCTAAGAATCGAAACTATCGTAAGAGTATGAGTAATATGTATTGGGATATTTCAGATACGGGTACATATATTTCATAACAAAACCATATCTGTAATCATATTCAATCGGTTATAGATTTGAGTAACCATATCTGTATCCTAACGAATACTGTTACAGCCTTAGATACAGATATGCTTTAGTATCCCTATTTCTATATCAGTTATGTAGCTTGCCTCGAAAACACTCATGCAGATATCTTAACATCTCTTGCAGCCACTTTTGTCTTGATTCCTAAGTCCACTAAGTGTATCACAATCTCCAACCATCCATTATGCTCCCGAGGATAAATTATGGAAGCTAATGAAGCGCATGTCATGCCCACTCACTTCGAGCCTAATGATTGACATTTTTTGATTATTGATTACATCTTGCATGGAACACTATCAGATAATTTAAAGCAAGCTATCTCTCTCTAAAGAGGGGCTTTACTCTTCTTCTATGATTCTGCTATGCAGAGTTTGTATCGTCGATCATTCGATAGCGTGTTGCTTCAATGCTTATCATTGACTGAGGCTCAAGAAGCGCTTGAGAAGCACTCAAGAAAGCCTACGATGGTACATGGGGAGCTCATCAACCAGGTCTTAAACTTCAGGATCTACTTTTTATCTAGGATATTATTAGCCAACAATGATAGCCGATGAGGTAGTTTATGCCAAACGGTGTCATACGTGTCAAGTCCATGCTGATTTGTACATCAATCTCCAAAAGAATTCCATCTAATTGTTGCTTCATGGCCATTTGAAACATGGGGCATGGACGTTATCGAGTCGATTTGTCCACCATATGCTAAAGACCTTTAATTTATTTTGGCCATCATTGATTACTTCTTTAAATGGATCGAAACAATTCCACTCAGAGAAATTAAGACATCTCATGTGGTTAAGTTCTTGAAACACTACGTGATTTATCGATTCGGTGTCTTCCGAAGGATTGTCCACGACAATGGTCCGCAGTTTGCCAGTTGATCTTTCTTCGGATTTTGCCAATTATTTCGACCCACATCTCTTTCAATTCGACTATGATGTCGCGGAGGAGCCAAAGCTGGTTGATTCAATGCTTTTGTATATTGTTTTAGGTTTGGGTATGGTCAGAATAAGTGATCGTAGAAGATAAATTAGTATTAATTTTGGGTTTGGGTTTGGCTTTATATTGAATTTGGATTTTTGAACTAGGTACGTATAAGGGCAACTGGAAGAACACGTCAAATTGTAAATTTTCAATAAAATATTCCTCATTTGGGTTAATTTACAAAACCCCTCCTTAACTATGAGCTTGTTTCAGAAAACACTCATCAACTTATTTCAGAAAACCCTCATCAACTATTTGAACTTCAGAAAATTGTCCTCAACTTTAATTACTTTCAAAATATGAGCAAACCCTCCTTAACTATAGGGTGTATCACAAAATGTTTATATTTTTTTTTCAAACAACCCCCTAATATCATTAATTTAAAATATGCAATGACTAAAATACCTTAGTTAAAAAAATCATTTGAGTTTAGAAACCCAACTCTATCAAAATAGGAGACTTCAATTTAATGGATTTTGATGAGGAAACTAATCTTTAAAAGAAAATCAAAAGTTTCAATTGTTTCAGATGTTACAAGCATGTATTAGTAGAAAATAAAAGAAGTTTTTTTTAGTAGTAAAATAAAGGAAGTTTTAATGTTTCAAAAAAGAAAGAAAAACTTAGATTTGCAGGTGCACCTAGCAATGAAGATAGAGGAAGAAGAAGAGGGGGAAATAAAACAAAAATTTTTTTTAACAAAAAAACTAAAAATACACAATATGGTAAACTTTTAATGTCTTAGGGATAGTATGATCATTTTAAATTATTTGTTCCTTTATATTTTAGTTATATTAATTTAAGGGGTTAAGTGAGAAAATTGAGGGGGATAAATCATATTTTGAAAGTTAAGAGGCTTATCTACGACAAACCCCGAGTTTTATTAAAGTTAAAATAGTTAACGGGGTTTTTGAGATGACCCCCATAGTTGTGGGGTTTTTATAAAATTATTTTACTAAAATAGCAGCATGGTGCAAGGCTAATTTCAAATAAATTGTACAATTAGGAGGAGCTAATAGAAATTTCCATGATGAAGAAATTTTCTAAATAAAACCATTCATATTTTTTTTAAAAAATCGACCCCCTTAAGTTTTTTTTTTTTTTACAAAAATCGACCCACTTTCTCGCTACGTCAGCATCGTGGCAAGAAATTGGATTGAATTTTTTTAATTCGATTTCTAAATAGTCGGGGTTGCCAACTCGACTATTTAGGAGGTTGTAAAACCTTATTTATAATCCTAAACCCTAATATTCTATGCGCTAAATAGTTGGGGTTGACAACCCCGACTAATTAAGAACCGAATTAAAAAAAATAGGTTGATTTTTGTAAAAAAAACTTAAGGAGGTCTATTTAAAAAAATGTGAATGAGTTGTTTAGAAAATTTCCTATTTCCATGATTTGTGACTAGTTCGGAATAGGGAAGCTGCAGCTCCTCATCCCCGCGTGACAGTTATGCAACGACAAAATCTAATCAAAACTGACTTAATCCCATCATTATCCTATAACTTACCAAATTTGAACATATAATAAGACTATTAATGGGATTAAAATCTCCCAGTTTTCGCTCTCAGCATGCTAAAAATCTCTGCCTCTCCTTTACCCCCTCATCGTCATCATCATCATCAGAGCGCGCGACCCAAATTCTCGAGTGATCGTAATCGGCCGGCGGCCGAAACCCTAGGATTAGGGTTACTGCGGGATCTCGTGAAAAGGATCAAAGGGGAGAAGAAGATGAAGGGGCTTTTCAAGCCGAAACCTCGGACGCCGGTGGAGCTCGTGAGGCAGACGAGGGAGCTTCTGATTTACCTCGATCGGAGCCCGGCGGCGGCCTCTAGCTCTAAAGAGAGCAAGCGGGAGGAGAAGGTTCGTTGATGATTTGATTTGTTTTGGTTTTGTTGGTTTTTGATTTGGTAGTTGGTGGAAAGTTTAGGCCTTTGATTGGGATTGTTGTGGGTTATTTGGGGCTTTAATTTTATTTTTGAGGTGACATTTGATTTGTTTTGGATTTGGTGGTTTTGATTGGATTGTCGGTGAAATCTAGATTTTTTATTGGGACTCTCGTTGCCTGAAGTTAGATATTTTTTTTTTTGGTTTTGGAGTGAAATTGGGAATGTGTTTTGAAGGGAGGAGAGATATTTTTTGTTGATATTTTGGCATTGTCTATGTAGTTTTTGGCATACTTATTCTTGAAAATTTCTGTGTCTTATGTGATTAAGTGATGCCTTATCCGGAATTTTGCTGAAAATTAGGATATCTACTGCGATTGTCCTTGATTGTTCGGTTTCTTGATGGATTTGATTGTAGACTTTGGTTGATTGAATTTATTTATTTATATTTGTTTTGAAATGAAATTGCGAATATGAGCTTGAGGAGGAGGAGTGGTCCTTGTTTTTCACTGTATATTTGTGACATTATAAAATTAATTTTTAGCATAATTATTCTTCAAAGTTTCAATCTTTTGGTCTAATTGAGTATGTGTCTTATTCAATTTTCCGTATTCAAATTTCTGCTTGGAAAGTGTCCGGTTATAATTGAGTGAAGATGCAAATGTTTGGCCTTGATGTGGATCGATTTTGCTAGTGCATTCTCAGGTGATGTTATTTAGGGCTCCATTTGTTGCTTTCAATGTCGGATTGAGATTTCAGCTGTTTGTTTGGGCTCTGTGCTGATAACCTTTCAGTTGATTAGACTTTTTTTCTTCTTATATCTCAATTATGAACATGAACTGAGGACATGATAGAATGTTATGTTTTCTTTCCCTTTTTCACAACTGGTATATATTTTTTATTTTATTTTCTGTTGTGTTTTTTAGCTAGTTGATTTCAATTGTTCGAAGGCCTTCATGGATATTTTAAAGGCTGTCAACCTGTAAATGGGATCTTTCCACCATGTAATGAGCGTGATCTTCAACATTTGTTTGTGTTGTGAAAATAGTTGTGGATGAATACTATGTTACTGAGTGTCATCGAGATGTGCAAATGTGCTTTAAGAGTATATCATGTCCCCTCGGGAAATATTCCTCCTTGCAACATAATGGTAAGATCTACCCTCCAGAATTTAACAATCGCGTGCATCTGCAAGCGTTCTATCACAAAGCAGAAGCCTCGAATAGCTCAATTTTGTTTCTTCCCAAAGACTTGGGAAGAAGGGAGCAAAGAGAAGAAATGAGGAAGGTGACTTTTTCTATTGTGTTTCTATGTGTGGCAACATGCTCAGTTAATTGGTTTTCCGTCAAGTTTCCTAAATTTTTCCATGTGGCTCCATGGCCTTGTGCTCATGTGAGCTGCACATATCTTAGATCCAATCAGCCCGTTACGTGGAAGGGAACCAATGTGAACACTAGGAAGATTTGTCAATATACATTATGTGACTACAGAAGTTCGCTAGGATTTTGAAATGCCCTAATAATCCCTCACTATGTCAAAGTTCAAGGAAGAAGAATCAAATGGAGAAAAAAAGTAAGAGAACCTAATGCCTCAATAGTGGTGAACTTTGTTCTCTATTATGAGCTTTAACATAAAAGAAGTAAATTCACATGCCACCATCTAACATAAGGGTACCCCATAGTTTTTATTAAAATCTAAAATAAAATACAATTGTAAATATAGGGGAAAGCCCAAATAAGTATTTGCAATTTTTGTGGATGTTATCTCTTAGAAGCGTGTGGATTTGCTACTCTTCTAGATGACTTGGCCTTTTAGCTTGACGTTAAAAGAAACATAAATTGAAAATAACAAATTAAAAATGAGAAAGCAAGTAAAGAAAAGTAAATATAAGCAGGAAAAAATAGGAGTTTTAATGACAATGTAAGATATTCCCATGTCAGCATCCAGCACAAGGGTAGCTAATAGTTTTGGTTAAAAATTAGAATACAAACACAAATATAATGAAGAGCCTAAGTTAAGGTGATGTCATTATGAGCATACGATTGTAATTTATGGAAAGGGTGTGGATATGTGACTTATCTAGATGTCTCAGCCTTTTAGCTCAACGATAAAAGCGAAAGGTGAAATGGAAAAAAATACAAGGGAAAATGATGGAAAGAAATGTAAAAGAAGTAAAGAATAATTAGGAGTTTTGAATAAAAATATTTCATTTAAGCATCCAATACTGGTGTAGCCCACATTCTAGTATTTAATGAATGGTTAGGAGTTCTGACATAGAAGGCACCCGATTCACATTCTTGTGGTGCAAAAAAAGTATACGTATCCTGGAGTATATCTATATCCGTCAGGGTACAGATATGGTTACTAAATATCTTATTTGCTAGGATACGGTCATGGATATGGATATATGGTGAAATATATGTGTTTGAAAATTTCAAATATATGTTTTAAAATTGTTTTAAACAGTAGACTAATGGATTTGAGGTTAATTTTGATGATCAAGAATCTAATCTTAGCTTTTCAAGTATAATGGATATATTAATGAACTCTCTTTTATCATATGAACAATATTTTTTTTTTCAATATTATCTATTTTCCGCATATCTGTTTGTTATCTGTATGTATGTCCATATCCATATTTGATTTTAGAGATATGGATATGAGTTTTTCTTATCGAGGCATATCCATATCCCTTCGTCATTGTTAAAGGATATAGATATGGTAAGTATCATATCCGAGCTGTATTCGAACCGTTTGCTCCTCTAATTTAATGAATGGTTGCCCACAATTTTCGTTAAAAGTTAAAACAAAATACAAAAGAAAAAAAATACTCCAAATAAGACTTGAGTATTCTGAGCATAATATTGTTATCTCTGAGAAAGAAGTGGATCTGCGACTCATCTAGGCGTCTCAGTCTTTTAATTCAATGTTAAAACCAAAAGATATTGAAAATTAAAAAATGTAGGAGAGAAAACATACAAATAAATGTAAAGTAGGAGAGAATACTTATTAGTTTTCACATAAATGGAATAGATTCCCGTATCAGCATCCAACATAGGCGCACACAACCCACAATTTTGGTTAAAAAACTAAAATAAAATACAAGTGGAAATATAAAGAAGAGGCAAAATGGGAGTTTATCATTTTGAGAATATACTGTAATCTCGGAGAAGAATTTGATTGCAACTCATCTAGATGTTGAAAGCAACAATGAAAAAAAATAAAAGAGAAGCAAATAAAGAAGCAAAGAAAGACGTCTAGATGAATTAAAGTTCCACATGCTTCCCACAAATTATAATTTAATCCTGGAAATGGTAAATTCTTATTTAGACTATTTGCTGTCTAAATTTTAGTTTAGTTCTTAACTAAAACTTCAGTCTGCTCTTGCTTTAGATGGTGGCCTGTGGGCTGCTCTTGCATTAGATGGTGGCATGCGGATGTGTTCCTTTTATGCCAAAAATCCTAATTTGTCTCTTGCGCCTTTTTTTTCCTCTTTACTTTTTTCATTTTCAATTTCATTTGCTTTTATCGTGAGCTAAATGGCCAGACTTCAAGATGGATTACAGATCCACTCCACATGCTTCCCAAGATTTGAATATTATTCTCAAAATTGTAACATCTTATTGTCCTCTTTCTATTTTTCTTATCCATTTGTGTTTTATTTTAGTTTTTTCATCAAGGCTATCTTTGCAATGAATGCTAGCATCTGAATCTAATTCTTTTATGTCAAAACTACTAATTATTCTTGGCTACTTTCACATTTCTTGAATTGATTTTCTCTTTACTTTTTTATTTTAATTTCCAATTTCCTTTTCTTTTAGCATTGAACTAAAATGCTGAGATCGTCTAGATCAGTCATAAGACTATGCTATTATCCTAAAAAATGTATATCTCATTTGGACTTTTCTCTATATTTCTCATTTGTGTTTTGTTTTAGTTTTTAACCAAAACTATGGACTATTCGTGTCTGATTCTGAAATGTGAATCTTTTTATCTTATATCAAAAATCTTAATTGTTCTTTATTTCTTTTTAATTTTTAGCTCTATATTATGAACTTGAATTGAGGTATAGGAATGCATGGTTTAGTGTTTTCACTTTGTTGATAAGTGTTACATGTTTGCATGTATTTGATTATTTTAAAGTAAAATTACAAGAAACCCCCTTCATCTACGCCTACTTTTCTAAGATCCCTTCATCTATTAAGCTCAACAACACTGCTAAAAAAAAAGAAACCATTGATCTATGATAATTATTAAAATCCATGGTTCTTTAAGAGCTTTAGGCTAAACTTGTGATGCATGTGAGAAAGAATTAAGTTTAAATTTCAAAAGGGTTGTATGAATTAAACATGCTTTCTGGAATTTAAATTTAGTCCTCATACATTCATCACAAGATTACCCTAAAACTATTAAATCCTAAGAATGTTGACGACTACCATGGTGTCAAGGGTTTTTTTGTTGGTGCTACCATAGGTCAAGGGTTTTTTGTTAAATGCAAGACATGAGTAAGTTTCTTGAAAAATTGGGTATAAAAGATGATGGTTCCCTTAATTCACACTATTTTATTTACTCTTTCATAATGTAGGTTTTTCTAGAAACATGAGATTTTTTTCCTCATCACTCACTATTAATTTCTCTTACAGATGGCAGAGCTAAGTAAACTCATTCGTGAGATGAAGGATGTTCTTTATGGAAAAGGCGAATCAGAACCGGTTCCTGAAGCCTGTGCACAGTTGACTCAGGAGTTCTTTAGAGAAAATACTTTCCGCCTGCTAATTATATGCATTCCTAAACTAAATCTAGAGGTAACTCAACAAGCTTGTTCAGTGTTATGTATATTTGAGTTCAACACCAAATATATTTTAGTCTCTTCTTTTGCTGTCTGTATTGGTTGTTAATTGTTTGTTATATCTATTGTACAATACTGATTTTTCAGCTCCGTTAGTTAATATATCTATCCAACATATTGACTCTGTTAAGCATGGTTCAATGGATTTGTATAGGCTTGTAAAGATGCTACCCAAATTGTTGCAAATTTGCAAAGGCAACAAGTTCACTTTCGGCTCATTGCATCCGATTACTTGGAAAAAAATAAAGATCTTATGGATATTTTGCTATCCGGGTAAGTTTTAGTGTTAAGAAATTCCAGTTGGATTTAATACTTTAAAACAATTTCTTATTTGTTCTGGCCTTTTACACTTGGGACTATGTCATCGTATTCTGCTTCTAGACCAGGGAATTCTCCAGCTAGTATGACCTTAAGTGATTTAGTGGGGCTGGTTAAGCTTCCAGTCTTGATTATCCTGAAGAAATTAGATATATAACAATATAAAATTTTTAATTATGGTTGTTCTGTTGTTTAAATCTTTGTTACATCATTTCATTTGGAAGTGTGCACAAATAACCATAATGGATAGGTTCAACATGGTATCATTATTTGTTCATTTGTGAAATCTATCTAATTTATGCTTGTTATAAGAGGCTCCTGATTATGAATTACGCTAATTGTGATGGTTGTATGTTCTAGACCTTTCCCAAATCTAGCTTTATACAAAATGAAGTGTCTGTACGGAAGATTTTGAATATTTCAACAATTTAAGTGCTTCTGAACGCAATTATGATTCAAATATATAAGCATAGATTTGGCTCCATTCAATAAAAGAATTATGCTTTCGACTTTCAACTCATTGTACTTGTGAATAAAAAATATATCTATACACTATAGGGCTTAGATCATACACATTATTTAATTAAAATATTTAGGAAAAATATATAGAAAATTCTTGTTCACAGGCAAGCAACACAACACTGAATTATGTTTGCTTCTTTTATTTTGAGATATTATTTCCATTTTGTTGGCCAGCTATATAATCTGCATTTGTTCTTTTTTGCTACTTCAATTCCTTGTTTGTCAGAGCAATTTCCTCATTTGTGCATTGCATGATTCAGCATACCTGTGTGTTGCAGGTATGAAGATATGGATGTTGCTCTACATTATGGCTTTATGTTGAGGGAGTGCATTCGGCACCAAAGTATAGCAAAGTAATTCTTGTGGATAAGAGTATCTTTAGCTAGTTCTTCTGCGCCAAATATAATTCCTGTGGATAAGAGTATCTTTAGCTAGTTCTTCTGCGCCTAATATTTAAGGGATGTCCATGCTCTTTACTGTTTTATTAGGCATTACTGAGAGAGTGATTACCGATAGCATGAAGATTTACTGCATAAATTGCCTCTTATTTCTCTGAAATATGTAGTGTTACTGTACTAATATTTACTAATCCTATAATTGATTAGACTTACCTTAAGATATAGCTCTAATGTGATTAGTTTAAGGACATTCTCTTTTAACAACAGCTTTCTGGCATCACTATTCAGTTGCGCATTCTCTTTTATCCAACTTCTGATAAGTTAGATTGACATTTCCTAGGTACAAGTACAACATAATCCTGCATGCCCATTCTTGGAAACTGACGTGTTTGTCTTCTGATCCCTGACGATAGCATAAAACGTACCGTTGTTGAAAATTATCAAAAGAGTTTGTTCTTCAAGTAATATAATTTACTTTGTACATTGATTATTGCAATCACACAATTAAGATAAGCCATAGACGAAAAGGAGGAACATCTGTTGCTAGGTTTTGGTGAAAACCATTTGGTCTCAGTGCACTTAGTTTTGGAGGAATATGGAACAACTATAACAAGTGCAAATTATAGAAAACAAAATGTTATCATATGAGTATAAAGAGAGACAGATTTAGATTATTCTGAAGGCTATGTGAGTGACAATGTAAAGGAAGAATTTCTATGATAAGGTGGTCACTTACTTGCATGGTAAATTTTTTTTTAGCCTTCAGCGACCGTACAAGTAACTAATTCCTGTTCTGTACATGTATTTTGTTAGAAGAGAGTATTAGTTTAGCATTAGTTTAGTCCCCACATTGCCTGTGAGACTAACTTGTAACTAATCCATCTCTATAAATAATTAAGTAAAAAGTGAGGAAGGTTCTCCAATAAACTCTTTTCTCTCCAAATATTAACATGGTATCAGAGCCTATCCCTAACCCTAACCCTAATATTAAACCAAATTCCTAAGCCTAACCCTAACTTTAATTCCCGAGTCTTCGCATCCACAAATCCCGCCGCCTTTGCTTCGTTCGCCTTCGCTTCGTCCAGATCCGATCCACTTCTTCAAGCACGCGTCGAGCTCCTCCTTTCAAGAGAACGTGTTGACCGACGCCTCGAGAGTAGCCAATTCCCCGATCGCAGCATGCCCCATTCCCCGAGTTTCGCCAGTGATGAGAGCGGTCATCCCGACGTCGAGGTCCACTTCCGATCTGTTCGCCTCCTCGACACTTCTCTTCGTTCGCCGCAACATCCTGTTGCCGAGACCCACCCGTCGCCGCCCGCCGTCGATGATTGTCGCCATCATGAGGCCTTCACTCGCCGTCGATCACCGCCATCGATCTGTTCCTCTTTTTTTGTTTTCGAATCTAAATCAGATCTGCGAGTTGTACCGTAAATAAAAAATAAAAATAAAAATAAAAATATAAAAAAACATTCGGGTTTCATCTTAACCTTCAGGTTCTTGAACTTTAACCTTCGGGTTCCATGTTAACCTTCAGGTTCTTGCACTTTAACCTTCAGGTTCAAAATTAAACCTTCGAGTTCTTCGACTTGTTCAATCTACTTAGCTAATTCAAGAATTATTATCTTGAACTTAGATATACTTTGATTTTTTTCATTTTGGAGTACACCTTGTGGAAGGTATCGTCTTGAACTCGTCTGTTTCATAATGGCCGGATCTGAGGAACTCAAGAATTCTAAGTTAACGGTCCAGACGAAAGTTTCGAAGATATTTTCTGATAGAATTACTGACCGGAAGCTTGATGGAATTAACTATTTCCAGTGAAAGCGAGTTATTGAAATCTACGTGGCAGATCGAGGCAAAACTGACCATTTATTTATGGACCCTCCTATTCCGACACCAGAATCTTGGACATTAGATGATAGTGTCCTCTTGCATCAAATTCTTATTACTATGGAACCTAAAATTCAGGATTTAGTTTTTTATTGTATTACAGTGAAGGAACTTTGATGTTTTTTGCAAGATCTCTATAGGGTTATCAGCAATATTAATCGGACATATGAAGTAATTCAGGAGCTATTTCGTAAGAAACAGGATGATAAACCCATGGATAATCATTATGATGAGTTCAATCGTCTGGCTGAGGAACTTCGTTAGATTTTTTCTATTACTGGGGATGTACAATAAATGCAGAACCAATGGAATAAACTTATGGTACTCACCTACTTGGGTACCCTAGATTCTATTTATTCCTTTGCTTGATCATAAATTATGGGGAGCTATGCCATTAGTTCTCTGGCTGAGACTTATCACTTTCTGAATAATACTATCCTTACACAACCACTTACATATACTGCGGATCGCTCTGCGTTTGCCACTCAGAGTTGACAGTCTTATGGACGAAGGGGTCATACTAATGATCCTGAAAGAGGTAGAGGAAACTTTGAAGGGAGAGGAGATTATCACACTGATCGTTCTGGGGGCCGAGTTGGTCAACGAGGTGGCCGTGGATGTCCATCTTAAGGCGGACATGCTTATAGCAATGACTCAGTGAAGATTTGTAACTACTGTCACTAGCCAAGACATCTCAAATATAATTGTCCTGAATGGAAAAGAAGAAGGCCAATGGTGCTTACATGACCGCTTAGGACAACTTCACCTCATATGATAGTGAAAGTCCACCACAATCACTCTTCCATGATACGGAGCTGCAACGTCAATTTCAGCAATTTCAATTATTCCAGCAGTACCAGAGTTCATAAACATCATCTTCCTCATTATCTGCTACTCTCTAAAGTACAGGTACCCCTTTATTTTTACTTACATCGTCTTCATCTCATACTTGGATTATAGATACAGGTGTCACTGATCATATGCCTGTGAATCAAGGTATCTTATCATCCTTCTCCCTTACATTTAATTCAGTTGTGTTAGCTGATGGTTCACGTACATCTGTTCAGGGTGTCGGCAATACCAATCCTATCCCTAGTCTTCCTCTTTCTTGCGTATTCTATTTTCCTAGTTTTTTCTATAACCTTTTATTTGTTAATAAGATTACTAAATCTCTAAACTGTACAGTAACATTCCGTGTACCAAACGAGGTGTTAGGGTTTTGTTAACCATTGTCCTAAGGGAAATGGTTAGCGAAGAGAGAGAGATAGGTAAGGGTGAGTGGGGCCCTATGTACCCCTATAAACTCTCTTTTCCCTCGCTGCTCTCTCTCTCTCTCTCTTTGTTAATCATTGTTAGCAATTGTTATCAAAACCCTACCAATGATAATCAGTCTTGATTGGGACGAGACATGAGTAGAACCAAGGTTTTAAATATCGGATGTCGGGTTCATGTCGGACGGCTGAAATCCATGTCGGATAGCGGAAATCGGGGATATATCGGGGGACATGGACTAAATATCGGATTGCCATATCGGATGATCCACATATGTATAATATCATGCCCTAAATGTAATCTAACTATCTAAGCATTCCTAAATTCATAACTTCATGACTCTGCACATTTCAACATTCATATGCACATTTAAAATAAAATAAATCTCTCCTTATTAATCAATAATCATTAGCCTATTATTAATCAGTTAGCCTATTATTAATCAAGTGATCAAACATCAAGTAATCATTAGCCTATTATTAATCAAAATAGTCCACAAACCAAACATTCACGTGTGAAGAAGAAAAAAAGAAAAAACAGGAAAATCGGCCGATATGGCCGATTTTTCGCCGATATGGCCGATATGTCGGTAAAAAACGATATGCGACTTGTTTTTCCCCGATTTGTGTCGTTGGACCCCTCAATCCGCTATATCGGCCGACATGTCCGACATGTCGGCCGATATTTAAAACACTGAGTAGAACGACCATTATAAACTAAAATTAGGCGCCAAATATTTGGCTTGTATCGGAAACTTATCAACCCTACAATACCACTGTCAACTAGGACATCCCTCTCTCTCTGTTCTCAAGCTTCTTAATCCCCTGTTCAAATCTCTTTTCTCATTAGAGAGTGAGTCGTGTTAACTTGGCAAACACCATCGTGTGTCTTATCCTAATCGAGTCAATAAGAGGGCTGCTAAGCCATTTAATCTTGTTCATTCTGATGTCTGGGGGCCATGTCCAATAACTTCTAAATTGTGATTTTGGTATTTTATCAGTTGGATGATCACTCTCGTATTACCTGAAGTTATTTTCTAAGTTTAGGTCTGAAATCTTTTCCACGTTTAAACTCTTTTATTCAAAATTAGTCAATCAATTTAAGTATTCGATAAAAAATTTTCGATCTCATAATGCAAAGGAATATTTGGATGGTAACTTCACTAGTTTCCTTGAACAACATGGAATCCTACTTCAATCTTCTTGTGTTTACACTCCTCAGGAAAATAGAGTTGTTGAACGAAAGAATAGACATCTCATTGATGTTGCTCGGACCTTGCTATTTCATCGTCACATTCCCAAAGAATTTTGGAGGGAAGCTATCTTAACAGCATGTTACTTGATTAATCGAATGTCTTCTGTTCTTCAAGATAAAATTCCTTTCAAAGTTCTATATCCAACGATGATCTCTTTCCGCTTCCTCCAAAGATTTTTGGATCTCTGTGCTTTGCACATAATCACAGTCCAAATAAACAAAAATTTGACTCTCGGTCTATTAAAAATATTTTTCTTGGATATTCCCGAAAGCATAAATGTTACAAGTATTTCTGTTCGTTACTCAATCGTCTTGTATTATTTGCTGATGTAATATTTTTTGAAGATAAATCCGATCATTCTAGTTCTCCATCTCCATTATCACCGGATGAGTATGACTATTTGATCCTGCAAGAGTCATTGGTTAACGGTGGTGGTTCATTCGCTGATAATACTATTTATGATACTGACAAAGACTTAGGTTTAACGATCCAATTCAAGTTTATCATCGTCGCTCTGCTCCTACTTCTATGCTAACGT